ATTCACCGGTACAACCAGAACTTACACTGTGGGAACAATTTAAATCGAGCTTCTGTATTTTGAAATGAGTGACTATAAGACGTTATATTCATTGATAAAAGTTATCATTGACTATCTAGAATAGATTCTAGACTATATTTAGTTAAACATTTAAGGTTGTTTTTTCAATAATATTTATTGAATTAAGCATTCTCCTCACACAAGAAAATAAAGAGAGCGCAAAAAACCGAGGGCATATTGTATGCACGAAATTGCATAGAAACGATTCTAGTTCGATAAAATCGAAGAATTTGAAATTTGAAAAAAATAATCATCTCATCATTATGATATTGTTTATCGTTGGATGATAATCGCATTCATCATAGTAGATGTATAAAAAGTCAATACCCTCGGTTTAAAATTTCAAGCCACAATAACAGCTATAATAGAAGCCGTTAAACCCATAAACCGCAGATTGTTATTCATCGCCTGCCACCAATTAATTCAAAACAATAAATTTTTGAAGTGCTTAATTTGAGACGACATCCAGGATAATATCCAAAACAGTATTTGTATTTTTAAATATACCTTACATGGCAGATGACTATTTTAAAATTGTATAACATTTTGTATATTGTGTGACGTAATTCGTTATATCCTTCTTCTATTTGTTTGGGTTTAGAGAAAATTCGCAAATGTTGTCCACTATGTTAAATTCATCCGCTTTCCCATTAAAAATAGATACATTTTGTAACCTCTAAATTGCACACACTAAATTAATTTGTGCCTCGTATCTCAATTCTCAATATGTAAACTTGTGTAATCATTGGTAAAAATTGATTTGATATATTTGGATATTAATTAATTGAAAAACAATGTACATTATAAGCCTAGTTAAAAACTTTAGCAATTTAGAAAATAAATTACATTTAATAAGTTTTGGGACAGCTTATCGGCTGGTTAAGACTGATTATATATTTAAGCTTACTCCAACAATAACTATAGCCTCACACGGACTAGTAATACACTATAGGCAGTGGTGAGATTCAAATTTTTTGTCAGTCGGTTCCATCACATATTTTTCAGCAGGTTCTGTTACAAAAAGTCATGTTTTTTCAGTAACCGGTTCGCTGATCTCATAAAATTCCGTGAGACGGTTTCATAGAAGCGGTGCGAAACGGCTGAATCCCACCACTGACTATAGGTATGGAAAGTGCAATATATCCCAAAAATACAGACGTTATCAAACAAATAGTACATAAGGATACAAAATAAAACTCAGATTAATTTCACGAACTTTTGCGCAAGTTTTAATCAGTCAACAGTTGATCAACATTTATATCTATTAAATGAAAATGTAATAAATATTTTATTCCATTTCTTCTTTCCTCGTGCGTTCAAGTGCGGTTAATGAAGATGGATAATGTTTAATGAACCAAGATTAATAAGACGAGCTTGTAACATTTATTTACCAAGTCTATATGCAAGCCAAAGTGGTATTCTAATTAAAGAAATATTGCGCGTATATTTAGGTCGGAACAGTTATATTTACTCTCAATTATCGATTTTAATTAAATAAACTTTTGGCAGTATTCTGACAAAGTATATGACACAATTTGAAAGTGTTGCCAAGTCTTTTAGCCTTCCTCTTTATTGGCAAAAACTAGGAGATAGATAAATAAATAATGATAATGAAGATAGATAATAATAATTTTAAACTAGCATTATGCTATCCCCGAAAAAACTTTTTTCTTTGAAACGTGTAAAATGTTGAAATTGATAAGTTTATTCCCGATTATAAACCGTTATGCAATATTGTCAAGTAACCCGTATAACAAACTGTAAGAATAACATTTTCGATAGAACCAACTTCTTATTTCAATCAGCATTTCGCAAGCCATCAGTGGTTGTGCCAAAAAGTATAGTCTAATAACACTATGATGTCTTGTTTTATTCGATTTTAGAAATAGGTGAATACTTTTACATGTACACTTTCAGATTTAGGTAGAACTCTTTTGCCTTTCTGGCGTGGTAATATTTCAATATATTTAGAAACATCTGTCTGCGTTTCCCGTCTCATAGATATTTCCTGCAGCAAGTTTGCACGATTGATAGCGAAGTCGTCCTCAGATACAGGACTAGGAATATTTTTTTTTAAATCAGAGCTGGAGATATTGTTACCATGATTAAGAAACGTGTCAACGGGATACACACTTAATTGATAAGCGTGGTCCGACCTTTTTTCTAATACTTCGCTCTTGGCTATACAACAATAGGTTAGGTATTTGAATTGCATGATGAACAATTATGTTGGGTTTCAACCAGGAAGTTAGTAACAAAAAGAGACCTATACATATGAATAAACTCTTTGTTGAGTTATAAATTATTTTGGTGATTCAGGAACTTGCACGTATATGGGGCGATCTGGCCATTATCGCTGGATTTCACTCCCAACAAATGTACAAGTACGAGATTTTAATTGAAAAACACAGATCTCTTTTTAAGTGCATCTCTGAGGGTTTGTAGTGACTTCGTTCAATGTTAATATTACACATTACAAAATTTTCATAATAATTTGCTAAATTCGATAAACTTCGACAATTCAATTTATACGAAGGTTACTCATGTTTTGAAGGTACTTCTATTGTTTATAAATATATTATCAAGATTTGAGATAGCAAGGTAGGGAGAGGAATATCTCAATGACATATATCCATATATAATCAAAATTTTGCATTATGTATTCCTTGTAAGGAATTTTCTCTTACATTACTATATATATATTTTAAAGTAGCCCAATATTGATATATATTTGTGATTCCAATAAAACTATTGGAGCATTTGGATGGAAATTGATCTAGAAATAGCTTAAGCAGGATTAGCAAGTACACTTAGTTGAGACAAATCACATGATATTCGAATAAGGCAAAGATTGCATTTCCATGCAAGTTCGTATTGGCAGCATTTTATTCCATGTCCTACATAGAGGATTCGGCGTGTTCGTAAAGATAAGAACCACTGGATTAGCTAATGTGTTCTCTCACCTTCAGAATTACAGAAAATTTGTTTCCAAATAATCTGGAAGTGACTTTTAGGTCTAATGGACTTAAGACGGCACAAATTGATCCACTCATACTTCCAGTCATTTCTGATGGATGTTTTTTCGACATTGCAAACTTGTAAGGATGAATAGAGCCATTATTTAGTAATGGTTCTTTCCCACTTTAAAACTATTAAACTTTCTATATTATCGCAATTCAAATAACGAGAATATCGGTCGGAGACCGAAGACTTATCGATCGAAAGGTAGGGGATCCCAAAACAGAAACTGCGGTTTCGATACATCCGCCTTTACTCCATAGTGACACCGTGTGTCCCATCCCTAATTAATTAATAACTCGCTAATTATGCGTCTAAATCGTCTAAAATCAATAGGCTTCTGGTCCGAGATATGATGAATGCACATGCAAAATTTGGAGCATTCAATCTCCCTTCCTTGGGATATCGCGTGCATCCAACAGACAGACCTGCATTTTATTACGTTATTATTTTTTGTTACACACATTTCAATATTTGACGGCAGATCACGCAAATATAGGTTATTATTTGCTGTTTCACTCATTTCAATTTTGCTGGTCCGCGTGTTCATTTTATTTAATTTTACCGGTCCGCCAGGGTAGAAAGGTTGGGAACCACTGGTGTAAACAGCAACAACATAAGAAACCGGGGGTCTAGCGAAGTTTGGTACTTTTAGTGCGCGTGGTGTAATAATTTTTCACATGTCTCTCCTGACCACGTCCCATGTCAATGCGACGCAACAATCACAACAATAAGAGAAAAAATAGCCAACTTTATAGTGAGTTTAATGTGACTAAAGTTGGCGCTATACTTTGGTGAGCTTCTATAGCGGGGTTTGATAAAAATCTGGTTAAAATATTGCGGGTTTTGGGAAAATTGTGGGTAAAATATTTCGCTTCGGTCTCAGTGTCCATATATTTGGGCATCGATAGTTTGTTTCACTAATATCGATCGCGATACCACGAGGGCCGCAAGCACAAATCTGAAGGCCCGGCGGGCCGCAAACTTTGCGACATACATATTTCACAAGATAAACTACAAATCAAAATAATATTGTGAAACAGTTAAATTTAATGAAACACTTAAAAATATGAAGAATCTTATTTTCTGGAGTAAAAACAAGGTACAGTAATTTTGCATATATATATGAGATGGCAAATATGTATTTAGTACCCTTCGTTTTCAATATTTCTTTTTTATTAGAATTAGGTATGGCGTGTTGCAGTATGGACTGACTGAAGGAAAATATTTTACCCAGGTTCAGTTTTGTAAAATCGTCCCAAATATATGTACGACAATTTATTCAGTCATATCTACCATTATTGAATATTTCCATTGTGGGCTAGACAAACAATCCGTTTAGTAGCAATAGATCTTCCTCTGTTGTACCTTTGTGACTGTTAAAACATTTTTTTTTTCTATAAAATCTGCTCCAATTTATTTGAAATTTTACAGTAAATAGCAAAATCTTTTGTGCGAGAATTTCTGCACCATTCATAAATGATAGAATTGTTTTTTAAGTTCTAAATTTGAATCAAAAAAGAAACTTCGATTTTATAAACTGCTAGTAAAAACAATGGGGTTATTAATAGGTTGCTAATATACACTAATGGGTGTGAGATTGTATACCGATATTGTTCTAAGCGTGATTCAGTCTGAATACTGAGATATCTAAATCAGGGTTTCCCAAACTGGGGGGCGAGGGGTCGAGCGACAAACTTTAGAGGGCGCGAAATGGCACACCAATTTCACACAAAGTTCGATATTTATTGAAACTAGTGCAAAACCTAAATCTCACGATTTCGAATATTATCGGAGTAGCGGCGCGCTTGCATAACAATGCCGGTTTTGATTGTTAGACCCGAGAAGTGACGTGTTTCGAAATCACCCGCGGGCCGCATGTTGTGCAGGCCTGCTATATATCATATAATCAAATCCAAAAATATCGAAATTATTATATAATCATATCCAAAGATTTCGAAACTTTGAAATACTTCTGCTTTTCGTTACATACATGTCTGAGAGCGGATTTCAAACACTTTTACATATCAACCCAAGGAAAGAAATAGAATGAAAGTAAACGAAGACATGAAACTAATACACAAACACAAACTTCGAGGTTGGCTGCACAGAAGCTAGCCCGACCATCGCATCTAATAAGTTGATAGCGAATATATATGTGACCATGCTATACATTTTGTGCCTTTTTTTAATATAAATTTAGGAAATAACGCTAAAGGGATATGTTAGCAAGTATTCAAAGGCACTAGCGTGATTTATGCGTGGAATTTCTCATAACGAAATTGAAGATACCACCATAATTTTTGTATCTGCCATGATTCTCCCGGTCAAGAAGGTCATATACCACTGAGAAATATTAAACGAGTGTTTTTAAAAAATTTCAGCAGAAAGGGGAGCCCCCTTCAGATTGAAAAAAAGATGAGGGGTGGGGGAAATAAGGTTAAGACTCCTTCGACCGGAACTAAGGACTGAATGGGGTATAAGACAACAATAGTTTTTTTTTTTATTTAAAAGAAGAATGAATGACATAGTGATGAATAGGAAATAGGAAGGTCAGTCAATCTATCCTTGACGACTTTACAACAACGTATACATGCATCCCCAACAAGATTCGTTTATTAGGTAAATGTACAAAACTATCCCCACACTATCTCTATTCCCAAAGAGTGTGCATATCCCCAAGTCTATGTTACTAAGCAGCTGATAGCGTCCCACGAATAGATAATTAGATATGGTTTATTCATCAAATTAACGTAAAATGGTCAGAAATAAAATAAAATTCTGAATAATTTCCTCCCTGAAGTGTGTCAATTAGATACCAGCTAAATCGGGTCACATGATCTTGTCTTGTCACTTTCAATACATTCCAATATTAGACGGCCCTAGTCATCATTTTTGTGTTTGAAATTTGAATAGCATGAGAAGTTCCTGAATTATATTTTTTATCATTTAATTTTTACCCTTGAAGCATTCATATAAAATGCCAAAACGATGACTATAGTATGCAGTCAACCAAAATTTAGTTAGTTTCATACCCTTGGTGTTTTGTTGAATGGGTCAAAATTTTGTGATTCACAACCAAGCCATTTTCCAATATCATTAGATCTATCATTCCTGCTTTCATTGACAAAAAAATCACTTCCCCCAATTATACGAGATGGAAATCTAGGACTTGATTCTGTAACCTTCTGTCTATCGGGCACTTTTTTGATCATGTAAGTTGGCCATATCTTCCTAAATGTCTTGAAATTTTTTACACCAATAATTGGCAAATTTTCATCAGTAACTTTCAGTTTCTTTTTGACAATTAGAGGAACTATATCTGTGATGGATAAGTTAGTTGGAAAAGATGGATCATACCCACTGCTGGTTATTTTATTGTTAGGAGGAGGGTGTTCTGTTAAATTTGGCTCCTTCTTTATCATCTTCTGAATATGATTGTCAGGTTTCATTTGGTCCGAATGTAATGATTTGTGAGATTGTTTATCCATATTTACTTCAAGTGAATGAATCTCTGTGACTGATGAGTAGGTATTACGGTTTTCGTTGATGTCTGGTTGGACAGAGTCTGACTGTTTTTGAGGTTTTTCACCATGGACAGGCAAATTTTGAACAGATTCAAATTTACTCAACTCAATTTCAGTATTAATTTTATTTCTTTTACTAATTTCTTCATCGTCTAAAACTGATTTATCTGGTCGAAAAGAAGCACTGTCCAAATTCTGACTCCATAAATTGTCGTCATCCAGGCAACTATGTGAAATATTATCTGAAATGATGTCGTTTTCTTGGGCGAAAGGTCTATCAATATTTATTGGAGCATCATCGACTTTGAATTTCTTTGCCAAATTGTTGTCCTCTGGTGATACTTTTTCGGATGTTGTTGCCTCATTGTCAACACTCCTTAGCCTTTTTCTTTCAACTGTATCAATGCTGGATTCATCTGATTGAAAGGGCCGACTTTCAGTAGCGTTTGGTTCTGTTTCTGCCATACGTGCTTGAGTAAACGTGTTTTGTGAGTTGAGATCAAATGAAGGATTGCAATACACAGCAGCATCACAATAAAGAACAGCAAGACCAATTTCATGTTCCTGTATGAATCTCTGCTCATTTTCAATCAATACATCCTGAATATGTTCATATTCAGCATTGCTTGCAATTATGCTATCAGTATTTATATCGCAGTGTACAACTGATGTCGATGAACTTGAGAGGAAATCATCATCAACTGATGAGTCATTTAAGAGTACATTTTTACCTCCACCACCAAGTACCGTATGTTCTAAGCGTTTGAGCTGCTTTTTACAGAGATAAATAAAAGTACGGCCACTAAAAACACTTCTTCTTTGTTTATTCACTTTGAAGGAGCAAAATTCTGCAGATAGATTGGGTTCACCCAGTTCTGGCAAGTATTGCTCAGCAGATGGAAGAGTAACTTTAGTTTTACTCAACAATTCTGATATTTTCCAAATATAATTGGGTTCAACAATGTGGCACCCATATACCAATGCTTGAGTGACTTTGATGCTCAATTTGATCTTTTCCACAACTATGTGGGTAACCCCATGATGCCAGCTATCCACAAAGTGTCCACCTATTTGCAATATTGAGGCTTTCAGTCTCTGTTTCACATCATTCTCAAGTGAAGAGGAAGTTACCACAAGGGGAATGTGTTGCAACTCAAAGATACTTTGCTGCGCACCAAATTGAATGAAGTCTCCAGGGTTTAGTATCGCAGTTTTGTTCACTTTTATTTTTTCAGTCCCAGGTCGTGTGATAAAAGTTCCAAACTTTGAAGAGTCTGTGACAGTGATTGTTGGAATGGCTTCTGGGTTTTTTAAATTTGATGGAGGATGTGTAATCCTAAGCATACCATGCTTTCGACTTACAGACGAGTCCCCTGTTATAACTATGTCAGCATCTTTTCGACCAACAATAATGTCTTTGTTACATGGCAGAAGATATTGGGAACTATCAGAGGATGTGACTAAACACCACATTCTGCATAAATAGCATAGTTTAATCTGCAAAAGTAAACATGACAGTATTCAATGGTAAGCAAGTAGAAATCACAACCTTTCAGTGGCTGAAAAAGTACAGAAGTAGGGGTACTGGTAATTAAAATGTTTGTTGAACATCATTGATGCAAACATAGAAAATAACAGTTATGCCTCACACTTAGTCAAATAAAAGTAGGATAGGATTTTGATATCTATCACAAGAAAAAGGGAAGATGATACTGTGATATGAATTAATCATAAGAGGAATCGTGAACTGTTGCCAGTATGCAGGTATGGTATCATAGCAAAACTAGAAAATGAGATCCAGTAGATGATAAGTAACGATATTTTATCGTGTTTGCCATTTCAAAATAACCATGAAAGTGTAAGTTAGATATGATAGTTTATTTTGAAAACTCCACAATCTGACAATTCAAACAAATAAAAATGGAGAATTCTGGAGAGCGAGCGAAACCTTTGAAACAAGATGAGTATCATGTGCCCGCTAACAAACACGCATTCACAAAAAAAACACAAACTTTGTAGGCTTGAGCCAGAAATAAACACACAAAAAATACGTGAATGTAATAAACTTTCGGGCTGTAGTTTACTTTTAAAATACTCAAGCTAATTAGGACCAATTCTATCCGATACAAAGACAACGTGTGTAGGTGTAGACTAATGTAATGTAATGAGGTGACGAGAAGGATCCGAAACCATGAAAACTACATTGATTTGGCATTGGTGACAATGTGATACAGTGAATCAAGATACATATAAACAAATCAAAACAATTGTTACGCTACGCCCACTAGAAGTATGTTAGGTACGAAACTAGGCTACATAAGACCCAAAATTTCTTGGTCTTATGCAAAGTTAATATTATACAGATATCCGATTTGGTCTAGTTTACAGAAGCGATTCCCCATTGTGGATGTTTACAAAAACTGTAGAGCAGTGGTTTCCAAATGTGTTGTTACCCCTAACTGCCTAAACCAAATTACTGAAAGCTAGGCTACCGTAAATCGCCGTTTCATAAAATTTAAATTTTCTGCACACAATGTATCAAATTTCATAGCTCAACAATACAGCAACGGTTCCTTTAATTACCGGAACGGGGTGGAAAACATACATAAACCTACCGGAATGGACCTTTAGATGTCTTGCAAATGGCATTTCATATAGCCTACCTCCATGCAACTTTTATATTAAATAGGCAAACTTGGGGGGGGGACAGTGGTAAAAATAATTTTCCTCAATTATTGGAACGGACCCTAAATTGCCGGAACGGAGTGGTAAACCTACATAAACCTACCGGAATGGACTTGTAGATATCTTGCAAACGACATTTTTAATTATAAGCGATTCCCAAGTATAATAGGGAAATTTAGGGGGATACCGGCTACCGGTAGTGAAAGAAAATAACAATTTTATTTTGCGCCACCTAGCGGACGCAGCAAAGAATTCCTGAATCCTCTCTTATCAATATGAAACGAATTAATGATAAAAATCGACAATCCTAGTAGGCCGCGAGCCGAGGCCCTGAAAAACGCCTAGAAAGTGAGTTTCGTAGCGCACATCAGGTAACTACCTGAAAATGATTTTAAAATGTTCCTTAAAAATTTAGTAACAAATATTGCCTTGTTCCCACTTCCAAAAGTTGCACGTTTTACGGAAAAGACGCTTTTACTACAAGAAATATGTGCTACGAGCTGTCCTATATTCTCTACATTTTCGGCAATGAACAATGACTTCTGCATGACGTAACAATTGAATCGAATCAGCTGTTAGCGAGCGGATGAATATTAGTTATTACTGCTCGACCTTGCGTTGAGTTGGGCAGCCTTTCCATAGCCTTGTTTAGTTATTATTGGACACGTTTATTGGACACGTTTAGTGGCCATAACGATCGTTTCAAAATTTTGTTGTTATTGTTATTTTCTTTCGTCATTATCATTAAAAAATCGCTTTTCTCTTCGAATACTGGACCAATTGCTTTGGAATTTTCAGTGGTTCAAGATTGATTTTTTTGCCAGAAGGCTATTACTTTCATTTATTCCTGAATTTTCTATGAATCTTATGAGATCTAATATTTCATCCAAAATTGCGCTGTATTAATTTTTAATTATGGGAACACGGTTTTTAATCCGCCAAGCGTGACGGCTGACTGTGAAAATTCTTGCGACTGAAAACCCAGAACTTTTTGAGGGTACGGTACCGGTAACGTCAAAGTTAAACCCTGCTTCGCTCTAGTCCACGTGTTCATATATTTGAGCGTTGCTCTCTTGTTAGTTAAGTTATGCTAAGACGTTGTTGAAAAATGTATAAGTAAGTTATTAAACACTTGTAGATCCTTACCACGGATATGGGTCGTGGACTCGTGAGACGAAGCCTTGAAAACGCACAGAAAATGAGTTTCGTAGCGCACATCTGGTAACTAAATAAATTCTTCAGTTTTGTGTGAAAATGAACATACTGAACGCATTACAGCTTGTTCCACAATCCTGATGCTAAATTGAATATAAGAGGTTCCCGGAAATTCAATAACCATAAGTTTACAACACATACATAAGAACTATGCAATTCGAGAGCCCTAAAGCACACTAACACAAATGCATTCCTGTAATGTTTTGCCTGACCAAAATCGGACTTCCTCAGTCAATCATAATTTATTAGGTAGAATTACGAAAAACATGGCATACATGTAACCAACAACAAAAAATACTTTAATTGTGTGACAGGAGTCGCGAGTGACCTCGAAAGCAGCGACACAAACAACGATGATTCACATTAGCGAATAAATTTTATGTAATAACCACAAGCAGTTTACAACAAGAACAGCATAAAAAGCTACATCCATTTTATAGAAGCTATCAAACGTATTTATTTTTAAGCTATGAAGTCACAAATTAACATCGTGAGCAGAAAACACAAATAAATCAGTTATTTCTCACTTAGAAATTTACCGGAAAAGTCAAGAAAATTAAATGAATGTACAATATGTACATAATATAGCGAACAAAATATTACAATTAGTCTTTTTTTAGTTTATGTGGTTATGTATTTGAACAAAAGCAATATTATTTCTAGAAACAGGACTACGACACTAACAAATGTCCGAAAAGAAAACAAATAAATGATACTTATTAAGTCAACTGCAATATCTAATTCACTTTCTTCTGAATTGTTTTCGAAATCCACTATCTCGAAAATCGACTTTTCCTCTATAAGTGTAGGCCCTACTGTGATTTTTGCAGTCAATACAAAAACAAAAAATCTGTGCAATTTAAGTTGATTTTGGCACACTTGCATAAATTATTTTGACTATTTTTCTTACACTTGCAGTTTGCCAACTCAAGAACTGATTTGAGGGCCACATGCTTCTTCAGTGAATCATTGTTGGGTGCATAAGTATAATCCTTATGTTTGCCAGTGTTAAATAGACGTGCCCTGGTATCATTTACATTCTTCATATCCTCTTCATACAGTGAACAAACAAATTCCTCAGCTTTATTCATTAATGCCTCGTTAACCTCAAAAGATCTTCATAGTTGAGAAAAAAATGAATTGAAAACCTCAATGAAGTCTCCAACATGAGTTTGATGGGCAGTTCCAATTGCAGAAAAGTGCTAAAGTATTTCAATATGAATAGCCCATCTGAGCTGTTTGCAATTATTATGATTCTCATATTCCTTTACGCTTCAAGACTTCTTGTTTAATCCACTTTATAGCACTGATATCAGCAGGGATTAGAGCCTGCGTTAGGTCGGATTGGTGGAACATTGCCGTTTTCTTTTGTAGTACAGTATCTAAAATGAGGAAGAAAATCATATTTGGAACAGCATGAGTGTAAAAATACCACTAAATACTAACTAATACCTTGAATACATAATGCATTTTATCTGATGTACTCAATGAGCGTATATATGCTCATTGCATGTACTACAGTCCAGCAGTGTTTGCATACCATTACTAGACTATATCTACACTAAATTTTGATATATCACAGTCTGAAATGCCCTATGACAGTATGAATATGGACTATTGACTATATTTTAAAACATCAACTGTCTGTCTACAACGGTGTTTCCCAACCCGAGTCCGCGGTCTCAAATGAGTCCGCGGTCTCAAATGAGTCCGCGGAGCATTTGAATGAGTCCGCAACGAGTCAGAAATTCGTGCGAGCCGCGAACGATTTTGCGGAACTTGACTATCAGCCAATTTACGATTTACGTCGGAATTTACATAAAACATAAAAAGCAAGTTTATTCACATAACATTAATCAAGTCAATAATTACTGGTTACTGAGTAGGGCTGGACATATATTCGAATATTCAACTATTAGAATAGCAATTAATTATTCGAAAATTTGGTAACAGATGACGCGACCACTTGCACTTGTGCGCGTCCCCTAATCAAACGATTGGATTTCACAACTCACTCACGAATTTTCGACGAAAACAAACAAGAAACCATAAGTTTCGTTTTACGATGGTTCGCGACCGATTAAAAACGCTTTTTTAGACATTGCAAAACGCAAAGTTTCGGGTGCTACCGTAGTATACGTATACCACGGCATCCCCCCATAGGATTGTTTGCTTTACTGCCTCAACATTGATACGCTGTGCAGTACTAGTAAGTGTTGTACAAACAGCTCAGATTTGTTGAATTCACAAAAATAGGAATCAAAACAAAATATAATCGGGGCTTTTACCACGCATTTTTGTGTCCACGGATTGTCAAGATATTTTCTGAGTAGTATTGCTTTTATTTCGCCAACACAATCACAGATTAAAATGATCACACAACTAAATTAATAATAAAGCAAGGCGATGAATATTCATTTTTCATTTACTAATATATTTTGAATATATTTTTATTGAGTACTGAATCAAGTTGTACTTTCTGGAAATTTATAACAGATAGTGAGATTTTTCTAACGACGATAACAAATTTGCAAGATCGTAAAAATATGTAACAAAACTAAATACGAGAATATCGGTCAGAGACCGAAGACTTATCGATCGAATGTTAGAGGATCGACCAAAACAGCGCTCTTACTCCATAGTGACACCTTGTGTTCCATAACTAATTATTTGATAACTCGCTCATTATACGACATAATTCGCTTCTGGTCCGAGATAAGATGAATGCACATGCAAAATCTGGAGCAGATTCAATCTCGCTTTCGTGGGACATTGCGTGCATCTAACAGACAAACAGACATACAAATACCTATCAACATACTTACCGATTAAAATCGATAAGTAATAATCGGGCAATATAGTCTCACATTGTTATGTTCACAGATTGCCGATTGGCATTTTAAAGAAGAAATGCTTTCACCTTGTCATAAGTCGACACAACCGCGAGTTATCATAAACACAATTAAATTAATATAGAAAGACATTAGATTGAATATTGTGCGACAGAAAGCCAGTTATACACTAAAAAAGTCGGCTCTTTATAACGAACGCGTAATTGC